CATCACACCCCTGATGGAAGGAGAAGTTACATTGCTTAGTAGGGAGCTCATCGTCCCGGGTAGCATCCAATACGATTGGGGATCAAGTGTTCTCCAGCCGCGCAGAGGTATAAATTACAGAGCCCGCTATCTTTGTTGAGCCATACGTGCACACCATCTTCATCATTTCCAGGAGCACGCTCACGGTCTGACTGACTTTTTCACACGACATGGATTCCGCGCTCGATACAGGCATTTCGCCTTTGGACCACTTGACAACACAGCTCTTCGAGTGGTCTTTCCGCGATGAAAGTGAGCTCGAGAAAAGACAGAGGGCCGTTGAAGTCTTGAGACAGAAACGTAGTAGGAAAAGGGCTCGTGTCAATACTTGTAGGTTCTTCTACGGTACAGTAACGTACGTATCGTCAATGGCATCTGCTGACACGAAAAAGACAATACACACCCCGCTACGCCTGACAACTCATCCGAGGATGACTGGACGGCACCGAACACACCAGACACAAGAAGAGAGCCCAGTGACCTTGGGCAGAAAGCCGGCGATGAATGTAGCACAACCGTGCCCGTTGCTGCTGTAGCTGCGCTGATGCAGGAGATTGCCAAGAACAAATGGATTGCTGTCATTTTGGTGGAATTCGACGGCAGCGAGAAGGCGGTGTTGAGGGTGGGTGTTCCGTCTCAAGACAGGTATGTCTGGAGAGAAATCTTAGGGCTTCTTGAAAGCGCTGGCCAGGATACTAAGAGGGGATTTGAACTGTAAAGGAGATATGTCGGTCCGTATGAGGGTCGAGCTGCTAGGAAGATGTATCGTGACAGCAAAGCCAGTTAAGGTGGCTTTTCTGTCATATATCAAACTATTCATCCAATTGCATTATTCAATGCAACCTTATAAACAAACATACAAGACAGTGTGATTGTGCTTTTGCCAGGTCTGCACAGTTGTGGTATCGCAATGTTGCAGGTAGACACCGCTACCGCAGACACGAGCTTGCCAGTGGTTCAGACTGGAGGCCTGCATCAGAGCCTTCGCTGGTGAAGAGAGCAGACATTTTTGACTGCGAAAACTTATCACATGCAGATACGGCCACGTACTGTAACACCGGCGAGCGTGTGTCTGCCTACATAGCTATATAAATTCAGACCATCTGCAGATGGCTAATGCCTACAACGTAGCCTTCTCATCATCAATCTCCAAGAGATTCGCTTCCCTAGAGAAAACGCTGTACGCACACAGCCCTAGCTCACTCAAATATACATCTGCGTCAAAATGACAGTGCGGCGAGGTTCGACGGTCCATGCAGCCTGGTCCTCATGTCTTGAGGTAGTCGAAGTCATCTGCACCGCCACAAGTGGCGCTCACATGTTCTACGGTGTGGTCGTGGGGATCCGTGACTCCCTCGAGTGGGATTGGCTGGCCGATTATCAACTTCTGTGGGTCTCTGAAGACGGAGAGCACGTCAAGGTATGGCAAGAATGCGTCGAGCGGCCCCGACCATGCAACGCGACTTGGGCGCCCCGTCTTCAGTGTATCGTGGGCTGCTACGAGACCGATGATGGCGTCAATCTGTACGCCGTCAAGTGGGATGGCTACGCCTGTCCGACGTGGGAAGCAGAAGAGGACCTCTTCAGTTACGGCCAATTGATGGCCGAGCATGACGAGACTTGCCAGTGCGCGCCAGGCCTTGGGAGTGGCC